TCCTTTCGTTATCCTCTTGACACTCTTGCAAGCATCATTTTTTTGGACAATACATCTTGGGTTTACCTTCTGTATTATTCTTTTTAATATATGGTTCATAACTTCTTCTAGAATTTTATGTTTGTCTTCTGTGTGTTTTTTTAATTGCCTATATTGAGATACTAAATCATAGCCACTTTTTCGTTTATAATTAGCTCTTGAGTTTAGTCATATTGATTTAGTTGCTTCTTCTTCGATTAGGTATTGGTTTTGTTTTTGTTTTTTTTTTGTTTTTTGTTCAGAAGGTATTGATTTTGTTTATTCATACTTTTTTGTGTCTTCTATTCAAATTGTATGTATGGTTTTAGTTTCTCTATTGATGTCATCTAATAGTAGAACTTGGAAGCATCAAATAGATCGTAGATCTTTAATTTTTAATCGTAGATTTGCCATTAACAAAAATCATTTGCCATTAACGACCACATGAAAAAAATGAAGACTTACTCGGTCCTGAAGTACCATATTTAAGTGCAATTGGAGCTCTTATGTATCTCGCAAATTGCACTCGACCTGATATATCATTTGCCATTAACCTTTTGGCTAGATTCAGCTCATCTCCTACACAGAGACATTGGATCGGAATTAAACATGTTTTTTAGTTAACTTCAAGGGACAGTTGATTTAGGATTATTTTATCCTAAAAGCTCAAATGGACAAATGATTGGCTTTGCTGATGCTGGGTATCTATCTGATCCTCACAAAGCCCGTTCACAAACTGGATACGTTTTCACAGTCGGAGAAACTGCTATATCATGGCTCTCTCAGAAACAAACACTTGTGGCTACTTCCTCAAACCATGCTGAAATCATTGCCCTCCACGAGGCAAGTAGAGAAAGTGTATGGCTTAGATCAATGACCCAGAATATCAAGCCAAGTAGTGGACTTTGCGTTAGTACAGAACCGACCATCTTATATGAGGATAATGCTGCATGTGTTGCCCAAACAAAGGAAGGATATATCAAAAGCGACAGGACCAAACATATTCCACCAAAGTTTTTCTCATATACCCAGGAGCTTGAGAAGAATAAAGAAATTTAAGTGAAATATGTTCGATCATCTGACAATGCTGCAGACCTTTTCACAAAGTCATTACCTACTTCGATGTTCCGAAAATATGTCCACAACATTGGGATGCGTCATCAACGAGATCTATAAAACTGTTCTAGTCACTCGAGGGGGAGCATGCGAGGTTGTACTCTTTTTACCTTTACTATAATTTTTCCTACTGGGTTTTTTCTAGAAAGGTTTTTAACGAGGCAACTAAAGATGAATCCCAAGCGATGAGAATGACAAATGGACTCCAAGGGGGAGTGTTGCAAAGTCAAAACTTTGCGTAAGGATTTGATGATGGAGCCCATTTACTTATCTCTTACAGTAATATTTTTCTGATTTTCTTCTATATATAGCATGCACTCGTCCATTGTAAGAGATACCAAAAATCAAATACAAAATCTCTCTCTCCCTCTTTGGTACACATCTATCTCCATTTTTATTATTACGTTCTATTAAAATAACTATATTAATATTATTCACATATTTATGCTGATATAATATACAATATACGATATAATTAAAACACTCTTAAAATTAAATCTCTTTGTTTTGAATACTTGCATCCAAGCTGAGGTTTGTGACTATAACATATATTAGATGATTACACTAACATTTGTAATTTTGTAGATTCATGAATAGTTACAAACAATAGTTCTGAGTTCACTTGAGGATCATGTTTCTTTAAAAAAACTAGTCTCTAAACTTTGGAAGGCCTGCCGAATCACATTGAAATTTTGTTGAAATTTAGTAACCTCTAGCTATAACCAAACTGTGATTTAGCCATCACCATGACCAAAGAATAACAAAAAATTTGACTACAGAAAAAAAAATATACATTTACCAAACTTCGTGGCCATGAAACTGTTAGGTTACTAAATTGGCAATGTCAACAGACTTGGCCACTAATCAAGTACGTATGAGTTACGAACTAGAATATTAACATCATATTTTTATGTAAATTTTTTGATGTCTTTTTTTTTTTTTAATTTAGAGCAAAGCCGTCTTGTCGTGACAATAACATATTCGTAGATTAACTAGGCTAACATTAGTATTTATCAAGATTAATTAATCAACTTCAAAAGAGTTACAATATTTCTGAGCTTACTTGAGTATCATGTTTCTTAAAATGCGATGTTCCAAACTTTGGATTTTGAAGCCCAGCCAAACCCCTATAATGAAAATTTTGTAAGGATGAAGTATCTCTCACTACAAACAAAAAAAAACTGCCATGGGCCATTTAATCTTTTTTTTTACTCTAATAAATAGACAAATAAATAACTGATCTAAGCATATAAAGCCTTATCATCGAGTTTCTTCCCCCTCCCTCATCAATCATCGGCTATTTTTTAGCTCATGGGATCCAGAGACTTCAGTCTCTCCAACAACGCTCAATTTTCACATTCCAAAGCTCTTTAAATATTTTCCTTTGCTCCCAATACCAACATTCACGATTTTTAGTCACATTGAATAGGAAATCATCGAGAATTTTTTTGCTTTTTTTGTTTTAACTGGAAATTTAAAAGTTGAAAACCGCCAAGATGGAAAACCAAATAATTCGATTGCAATGGGGAATAAGTTATTGGAAACAGAAAACACCGAAAAAACAAAACGGCGCTGATGTCAATAGAGAAGAAAGAGGACGGCGGCTGTGGTGAAGATAGGACAGTCGTAAAAGAGGACGACAA